AGGTCGTCTGGTATTAAGGGGCCCTCTTAAATAAAATAGCGTGATGCTTTTATTAGCTTTATTTCTTTATGAGGCTTAGGGAGTGGAGTTGTTTTTTTGTGAGAAAAAGTCCTGCTGTCACAGGAATTAAACCATATATATGCGATTAGAAGGCGAGCATCCTAACTACTAAGGTATTCAATCCACTTCATTCAATTCCATAACCCCTGATGGGGTTGTTGAGGAACTAATGATGATGTCTTGATAATCTTCTGCCACTGGTCACAGGCTACTCCTGTCTCTTATACACATCTAGATGTGTATAAGAGACAGAACCCGCCCTCTGCTCACTTTGGGGGAAAACACAATTTGTTAGGGAAAACGAATCTATATGAATTGATTAAATAAACCTAAGAAAACCCTAAATTGTTACAGTTTCCGATTTTCCCCCAGGCTCACTTCCAAGAGATTTTGAGTGACGTCCGACCACGCTGACTTATGCTCTCGAGGAGTAAGCCTTCTGTCGGGAACATCAGTTGGGTATTAATCCTGTTCAGTGGAAACATCATTCATTTTTTTTAAACCATATAGAGGGTGACCCTTCCAGCGTGTTCTAGAAGGTCGTCTGGTATTAAGGGGCCCTCTTAAATAAAATAGCGTGATGCTTTTATTAGCTTTATTTCTTTATGAGGCTTAGGGAGTGGAGTTGTTTTTTTGTGAGAAAAAGTCCTGCTGTCACAGGAATTAAACCATATATATGCGATTAGAAGGCGAGCATCCTAACTACTAAGGTATTCAATCCACTTCATTCAATTCCATAACCCCTGATGGGGTTGTTGAGGAACTAATGATGATGTCTTGATAATCTTCTGCCACTGGTCACAGGCTACTCTCTGGGATCTGGCAAATGACACCCCTGTCCACTCTGGGATGTTGTCCTCATATCTTTTCTTCTGCTTCCTCTTCTATATCTTCCTTGGACTGGATGGTTTTTTTGAAAGGCTGTGTGATCTGGTTAAAGGCTGTGTGATCTGGTTATGTGTCCGTACCACTTCAGTTTTCTTTTAAAAAGTGGACCTTTTGAAATTTGGGGGAGCATCTGCACTCTCTGCATTTCTCCCTACAGGCCTGTCAGTGTTAGCCAAAAACCAAATATGCCAATGTGTATGTATGTGTTCATACATACTGTACATACATACACATTGTATGTATGTGTTCATGCCCAATGATAAATCACAAAAGAACAGTTCAAAATGTTTAACCACATGTTTTTAGAGCAACAATACACTGTACTCTACTGAATAAGTTAAGTACATAATGTACAATGCTCTTAAAAAACTGTGAGTGCCTATTTGTTTATTCAAGACTTCCTTATTAAAGTGTACTGTGCATTTAAATTTCTTTCAATAAATCTTTTTCAATTGTCTTACGATTTATTTTGTTTTATGATAAGATTTATAAGTACTTTTCTCTTCCTGAACAATTAGCAGAAGCTTCTGTAACCATAGTGATAGAGAACCTAAAAATAAAAAAGAAGAAATTTATCGGCTTTATGTTCTGTTGACTTTGTTTCTACTGTAAAGGCCTGTTTATACTTGCATCGATAACAATAACGATAAAAAGGTACAAAGCAATTGTTCATATTGAAAATAAAAGAAGTAAGAGAAGTTGTTACACTAGGATGATTCAATAATGATTTATCGTGTATACGATGACAAAATATTTGGAGAAATCAATCAAAAGGACGTCATAATCATGGAGAAACGATAAAATTGTTGTTACTACTATGATTTTATCGTTTTTCAATGATTATGACTTCATTTGAAATGATTCACGAAAATATTTTTTATTGTATATACGATAAGCTGTTATTGAATTATCCTATTGTAATAACTTCTCTTATTTCTTTTATTTTCTATATGAAAAATTTCTTTTTAGCTTTTTACCGTTATCATTGCAAGTATAAACAGGCCTTTAAGCTCGAAGACAATTATAATAATGATATGGAGCTCATAACTCTAGTAGAAAGAGAAAATGTGCATAAGGTTATTATTCAGTACTACAATATATATCACATAGGTATCATATACTCACTTTGCCTGTGGTTGACTGGTCCTTTCCCGTTACCTACACCAATTAAGTACACTGGTATGCCAGACAACATGAGAAGTAAGCCAACGCCACATTCTACTGGAGCCGAGTACAGGCTCATCGAGACAAGAAAGAAACAAAACACGACAAACGTGACTGGAACAAACAAGGGAACCTGTACAAAAGATGATATTCATAACCAAGAAAATTACAATGCAAAATACAGGCCTCCCTCTAATTGAAGACCCTTAAAACTAAAGACCACCTTTAAGATCAATTTTCTGTGGTTTCATAGTAACAAAATGTCGTTCATTTCTAATTCTAATTAGAGACCAAAGCTGCAAAAGACCATGGAAACCCTGGTCCAAGTAGTGGCCTTTATTTGGAGGAAGACCTGCACATTGAAAAAATAAAAAATTATCTTGTATTATA